TATATATATATATATATGTATATATTAGACTGCCAATAATTATGTGCGGCCAAATGGCCAGAAGACCGCAAAAAATTCAAACTAATACTTGAAAATGAATGCTATCATCATGCAAATATCAACTTAGATGAAATAACAACTCAGTATTAATACGGCAGAGATGAATATTATTATCTTCTGTATTATTTGGGGAATTCGTTTTATTTAGTCAATCATAATTTAATCCAGTTATGACTTATGACCCATCATTTGGTGTTAGCGTTTGGCTACTAATTTAATAATCTCCTACATAGTATTGTATATATTTAATAATCTTCTACATGTCTTGGATATATTTTTGTTTTGTTCAATTATATAAATTGCTATTGTTATTGCTAATAATCTTTAGTACTTTTTTTTTCTTTTAGACATTTGCAGTTGCTCTATTTTGTACTTATTTGAGCCCACATTTTCCCTAATAATAAAAAGACAAAAAAATTTCTTTCATACCACATTTTTTTTTACATTTTTTTTATCTTTCATTTCCTTTTCCCATTATTTGTTGAGGCTTGCGTGGTGGGCTCCTATGACCCCTTGGACAATATGAAGACATCAGGGAATGGGAATAGGCTTTTCCACATCTGGCCGGATCTCATGGATGCACCGTGTCAAGTGAAAATCGCAGCCCGAGGCCGTGTACGACCCCGAATGTCTAAGATTCAATTTTTCACCCTGACGTTCGTAAAATGATTTTAATTAAATTTGACCTTACGAAAAGTCATGCATCACTCAAATATGACTCCATAGATAAAAAAAATGAACATTTTGAAGGATTTAATTTGGGCATTTTGGTACCGACGGACATCTTGGACCCCCCGCGGGTAGACAGTTCTGAAATCTGACTTTTTCCAAATATGTGCGTGTGGGATTTTGATTGCTCCCTTTGGCCACTGGAAACTCTGAAAAGGCGGCATACAAATTACAAAGATTGGGATAAGCATTAAACATGTTTCATCTTAGAATACTTATTTCCTCATGACAAATTCTCCCGGGTGGGGCTAAATCGACACCAACCCTAGTTCTTTGCTCGAGACACATATCAAATGGTCTGGACAAATGCCCTAGAATATAGGAAGCTGCAAACGGTCATGTAGCACTCAAACAGGTACTAATGTATATGACATCCAAAAGTGATGCAAACACCCACTTGAGGGTCTACCAGAGTGTTATGTTCGGGTGGCACCAACTTCAACGAATGTCCCATGATTACCCCGATGGGTTGCGTATGGAGATAGGGCCCCAACCTACATGCCTACACAATTAGAGCAAATGTTAGATTTTC